TACAGCCACCACCACCATCACCACCACCAGCACCACCACCACCACCACCACCACGTCTATACCACCACCACCACCAGCAGCAGCAGCATCCCCATCACCACCATTACAGCCACCACCACCATCACCACCACCACCACCACCACCACCACCACCATTATCATCACCAGCACTACTACTACCAGCACCACCTATTTTTCTTTTAACTCTATGTGTATGTATGAGATTATTGAAAACTAAATGAGTTTTTTATTACTGTCCTATAATCCTAAGAGAAGATGCAGATTAGAAGGAACTGGTTCTGCATTATGGATTACAAGATATACATACTCTGGCATAGAGCTACGACTATTTAGGCAACTGTGTCAGTCTTCCTCTTCCTCATACCTATCCTTTTATTTATTTCCCCCTTCTTCAAGAAATGAACTACATAATACAATAATTAAATAACAAGGTAAAACAGAGAACCAAAACTTTACCTCATAAATTTCAAATCCAGGATTATTGACTGGGCCAGCATAGTAAATCTGCTCTAGAAATATAGAAAGTTCATATGTGATTATTCATCATCTGAAAAAAATGATTTGTTTAGATTATTTGTGGCTGCGCAGAAGGAAACAACTGGGGAACTAAAATAAGAGCAGACATTGACACAAATGTTTTAGCTTCCAGATCTTCATTCATTCATTCATTCATTCATTCATTCATTCATTCATGCCTTCAGTGGACATTTACTGAACACCTACTATGTGACAGGCACTGGGAAATCCAGTGATGGAAAAAAAAAGTCTCTGCCCACACATTGCTTATAGTCCAAGAGGAGGCTGACCACACAGAGATAACTAAACTATGCAGATTGTAAAAAGGGCTGAAAGAAAATACACAATATGATAGAGGCAGGCAGTATGGAATGGAGCTGGGTTGCACAAGGTTAGGTTCTAAGGCCACCTTTCATCTGTGTGACCTTGAAAGTCACTCTCTCCTGCGCTGAGTTTCTTTCTTCTTAGATGAGTATTGTGAGATGGAAAACGCTTCATGGGATCATGAAGAATTAGAACAGCTAATATAAAACATGAATAATGGTCCTTGGGAAGCCCTGGATGGATGTTTGCTAGCTCTAGGAACTGGAAGATAACGTGCTTGACAGGTTGACTGGTCAGGGTTCAGGATAGACACTGGAAGATAACGTGCTTGACAGGTTGACTGGTCAGGGTTCAGGAAAGACATTTCTATGGGGTGATGTTCATGCTAAGTCCTGACTTAGTGCAGTTCAGTGGTAGAGCATTCGTCTAGCAAGTGCAAGGCCCTGGTTTTCATTCTCAGTATAAAAAGGGGAGGAAGGAAGGAAGGAAGGAAGGAAGGAAGGAAGGAAGGAAGGAAGGAGTCAAGAGCTAAAGTCTGAAGGAGGAGCATAAGTCAAGGGACTGGGAAAAGAGAATTTTAGAACAACAGAGTATGGACAAAGGTCCTGGTTTGAAAAAGTGTCAGAAATTGAAAGGACAGAGGACAGGTGGGTTGAAGTAACAGAGAAGAAGAAGGACCATGTGACCAAAGCAGGACAGAGGCAGGGAAGTCAGAGGAGACATACATTTGAGATCCTTGGGCACATAGTAGGGATTTCAGTGGGAAAGGTGTTGAAAGGTCAAGGGAAAATATCTAACTTGCATTTTGTAGAACCATCGGGCTGTATGGAGAGTGGCAGGGAGAAGTAGAGAAGGAGGCTCTTCAGTGGGCAGGGGGAGTGATGGATTGCTGAGGGTGATAGCGGAGATGGAGGTGGAGAAACACTGTTGAGACCATAGCAGTTGTGGTTTAGTTCTAAAATGACCCCCCTAGGTCTCATGTGTTTGGTAGGTGACTGGGTCATGGGGTGGCATACTCATCCGTGGATGCATTCAGTGGCTTGTGAGCTATTAGGAGGTGTGGCCGGATTACAGGGGTGAGTCACTGGGGGCAGGACCAGGAAGGGTGTGCTCTTGTCCCTGCCTCCTCCATACCTCTCTGCTCCATGGCTGCCATTGGTTGGGTAGCTTTCCTCTGCTGGGCACTTCTACCATGCTGTTCATGCCTCAGAGCCAGCTGACTGTGGGCTGAATCTACTCAAAACATGACCCTCCTTTGAGTTGTGGATGTCAGGAACCGCGTCCTGGAATGGGAAATTAATACAGCAGTATGGGCAGGTGCATTTACTGATGAGTTGGGGAGAAAGGCGAGGGTCAGGAAGAGCTTTAACTTGAGTATTTGGTTAGGTGGGGGTGACATTTGTGGGGAAACTGGGGAGGAACAAGTGTGTGTGTGTGTGTGTGTGTGTGTGTGTGTGGTGTCCAAAGAGCTCTGTCTCTGAGAAATCTTAAATAATGGGCCCTTGAAAACAGATAGCTATAGAAATCTGAAGTTTTGGGCAAGAGATAGGGATGGAGCTATGCCTGTTACATAACAGAAAATACCCCTACCCCCGCCAGTACACCTCAGTTTCTTAGTTGCCCAGGTAATAGTTCCTGTTGCAGTTGTGGTCCCTTCTGTCTCCTAGGAGTGGATGATCGCTGTGATGCACATTGTATGAACCAGTCCCCAGCTGACAGGCCACTCTGCCTCTGTACTTCCTGCTTGCTTGTCCCATATAAGCCTTAGGCCACCAGAGATCAGGGTCTGATATCTTGTGAATGATCCCAATCAGCTTCCATCGATGTAAAATAAATCTAACTCCAAACCCTGGGTGTTGTTTCTCTGTTTCTCCTTGCCATAGCAATTTTAATCATTAATATATAGATTATGATAAAGGCACAGGTCAGGATGAAGCCCCCGAGGGCAGCAGAATCATTAGACGGTTGTCATGGTTTAGCTCTAGAACGCTCCCCCTCCCCCGCCCCTGCCAAGTCTCATGTGTCTGGTAGGTGGCTGGACCGCAGGGCACTACGCTCCTCAGTGGATGAGAAGCTGTGCAGCACTCAGAGGTCTGGCAGGGAAACCGTCCGCGCAGGCTAGAGGACGGCTAGAGGACAAATATCTAGGGCTGTGCACCTAGACTGGCGAAGTGGGGGTCACTGGGGCGTGCAGGGTCCGAGGGTTTCTCACAGGAGAGCCTGATTGTGCCAAGTGCCACCTCTGTGAGTTTGGCACCACACCACACGTGCAGAAGTGTGCAGCAGTAACACGGAAACCATTTGTTGACCTTAACAACAACAACAA